ATTGAAGTCATATTAAAACATCATAGGCTTTTCACTGTGTTTCACTCTGCTTTCTCTCCCTGTCGCTATCATACTACTGTTATTATCACATTCTGCAGCTGCCACATCTAATGCACCACAAGTCTGTGACTGTATTACTTACTGTTTGTTTACCTTAACATAAATACATATAGAGGTGTCTCTGTAATGTCTAATGTTTAATGAAAACACACAGATTGTCTATCTTAGTTTCTCAGTGGTTTTTAACTCAGTGGTTAAAAAAGGATTGTCAAACAATTTCCCATCATGCCATTTTCTCATCATGTCATCCACACTGCTGGGCTACTGACAGCCCCAGCATTCCACAGGCCAGACGCCCCTACCATACTCCAAATACCCCACACTTGCGACATGGTAGATTATAACGTAGACTGAGCTTTTTTTCTTTTTTTTTTTTCTTTTATTTACAGTTATGTCTCAGCAAATGTCATTTTAAACAAGAAATGTAATAAGTTGAAAAGTGACACAATGATAGCGAGGTATATTTTCAGTGTAGTTGCTGATCCAGTGAACATGAACGGCAGTGATAATATTTCATTGTGGAGAGTGGGCTTTAAATGGGCTTTAAAATCAAATTCATGTGTGAAATTGTTCTCTGACTCACTCATTCTGTTATTTTATTAGGAATCCAGATAACAGAAATCTATTGTGTATAAACTGATTTGGTTAATTAACATTTTCTAGTGCAAACTTGGGGAAATTACTGCAGATATTTTTAAATTACAATATTGCATCCTGTCCTTAAAATAGAATCATGACATGGCTGAGTAGGGTTTGGCTGCTATGTACTGTTGGTATTCTCAGACTTGGTGCGTGCATGTGTCTGTGTCTATCTGATAGCTGTTTTCCTGGCCGTGGTGGTATCTGGCTGCTAATTTAAGAATCTATAATTCTGGGCTATGGGTCAGATATTGCTTGTGTGTCTGGGGTTGTTAGGCAACCTGTACATAGTTCATTTTCTGTCCTGGGCTGATGATGCTTTCTTTGATTGGGAAACTCCAGGATGACAGCTCCAGTCATATCAGCAGATAACACAGTCAAGTCACACCATGCTCATATCATGTAATTTCACATCATCTGTACTAGTGAAAACCTCCTTCATAATTTCTGGTACATGAATGCAGTGGGATGGGAAATCAGACAGAGCAACTGCTTCAGTCTGTGACTATGAAATTCATATCTGAACCCTTTAAAAGTGAATTCAAGGTTAGTGGGGTGGCAGCATCCCAGTTTTCTTTTAAGTGCAAATATGAGCAGGACTCATGTTAACTAATGTCAACGTTAGAATATAGAGGGACTGCCTTTTGAAAAGTCTATTCATGGATCTTTCCCTGACTACATGGGCCTTTTCTGTTAGAACAGGCACAGTCATGGTCCTGGAAGGAGGCCTGACGATATCTGTCTGAATATCTGATGATACAAATAAACTATGGGAGCAGTTAATAAGGATAATTTCAAAAAATACTACATGTGAGGCAAAGAAAAGTTGGCCAGCAGTTTTTTTTATTTATTATGGCAACCATTATTATTATACAGTTAGTTATATAGTTATATCTGTTGTACATTTGTCAGCAAAGAATTCTGGGATTAAAAAAAAGTGAAAATTGAAAATTAAAGCACCATATCTGCAGGACAGCCTGATTTAAACATTATGTAATATCATGTTTTTGTTGTTTTATCTGTCAGGGAAAATGAAGTATACTTCAAACAAGTTTAAAAGAAAACATTAGACATTTGAAATGTGAACAACTCTTGACTGTGGAAGTAACATGGCAGTGCGTTTAATAATGGCTTCTCTCTTAGCCGCTATAAAGAGGCTAGCATAGTTTGGGTTGTGTGGCCCAGCAATGTAAGACAAATCTTGTTTTCGTGCGATATTAGACCTCAATTGTCAGTAGTTGTGTTTATCCTATTGAGCATGTCAGTAAAAGCAGTGTCATTTTTCTTACTTTTATTGACAATTTCGGGCTCTGTCTTCAGTCCCATGATGCTCTGGGAAAGTGACTGGACAACTGAGTTCAAACGGGAAAGCTAAAAATAGAGCTGACACCACTAGCAGCTGACACACACACTGCTCTGTGAAACGCAAATACATGCACGACCACCCAGGGCGATCCCTCCACCTCCAACACATGGACACAAACAGAGGCGTTATAGGTCCGGGGATCGAAGAATTGTAAGAACTAGGAGTCAGAGCAGATTCTACTTAAAGCCTTTATATGATTTGATTTGATGTGGCATATGCTTGTTGTTAAGATAGTGTGAGACTGAAGAAGACAGTATTGCTTCTGCACACCCATGGTCCACCCATACAAGTGTTTCCTTGGTATGACTGTGTGCGCTTGTATGAACTACGCTTGAGTGACATCTCCCTCACTCTCCTCTTAGTTTTGTTGCATCTGTTAGGGCGGGACAACTTAGCCTGTTTTCATTCTTATAGGTCCATAGAGGGTCGTAACATCACCAGCATAGCTCCACCCAGCTTTAACCTGACTGGAGGTGTAATCAGCAGGGGTAATTGAAAACACCTGTGTGGCTGTGCCGGGCCTTCAAATGTATAACTTGTGTAAGAAGTCAGTTAAGTGTCATGGCTCTATTCAGCTCTTAGAGCAGTATTTAGCTCCTTACACAACTAAAGCCATCATCATCACCATTATCATTACCACCATCATTACCACCAACACATTTACACAGGAAGGTCCTATGACACAGGGCAGAGGACAGATGCCTCATGAGTCTGGGCTTGCTTTCAGCTGCAGCCCTGGGTGTCTGACATGTCTGTCTGTTATAAACCAGCAGCATTCATTCATGCTCACACACCCATGCGCGCACACACACACGCACACACATGCGCACACACACTGAACAACACACAAAAATATGTGGTACAAAACTGCTAAGGACTTTGATTTGCGCTTACACCCATTCATTTGCTGGAGGGTTGTTTTAACCCAAATCCTCTGTCTAACCATTTTGGAATTAAATGTAATGTGATCAAAAGGAATCATTTCAATTATCTACCAACGCTGCAACTATATGGAGTTTTTCACCTATATTAGCTAATGGTCTCGGTGTTATGGCCTACACATTTCCTATAGACAGGTTTGAGTCTGAGCAACAGGCAGCTGATTTTCCCCAGAAAGCTCCAACTATCCCACTGTATGCTAGATGCCCAGCACCAAACAGAAGACAGATGAAGTAGACAACTGTTTGAGTCAAGTCAAACATTTAGCAAAATAAGTTAAGAGACAAAAATAGACTAGAAAGGACAAAATATCAGACGAAACCTAAAGCTAATGTTGCTCTGTGTGTGCTGGATTTGTAATTAAGCAGTTGCAACACGCGCGCCATAACAACTTCATAATGTGATAATATGACATTAATTCAGTCCCTTTATCAGCAGTCTGTCCCTGAACATGATGAATATACATACAGATTGCTAATTTGTATTCAGCATTACAACTTATTCATGACACCTTTAACCAGGTAGCGCATGGCTGATGTACACAGATTTGTAGTCACTCATGCTGTGAGTAAGTGCAGTGGAGAGCACTTGTAACAAAATGGAGTGTGTGACCTTCCTGGCAGCGGCTCTATCAGTCAAACCGTATGCTGCTTATGTAACCAAGGGTAAATGCATAACTCTACAGTAACTCTATAGCCACTGGTGCAGCATTAAATCAAACATTGTGTATAATAAATTCTGATGCGTCAGCATTAGGAGACTGCTAAACATCCGTTTCATGTGCTTGGAAACAATCAAATTAATACATTTTAAGCTTTTAAAAGTGACTGTGAAAGTAAGAGACAGAGAAGCTGATAAAGATCTGTCTGCTTTAATGATCCAGCTTCTTTAGCTCCATAAAAGTTGCATTAAGCTGAATTACAGTAAATATGCTGCGGCTATTTCAAACATCTAAGGCTATTTCAAGATGACTTATGGTGTGGTAAAATAGGCTGTGATCCACTTCTCCCTCTTGATGTGGAATACAGATAGTGTTTATGAAACCACAGCCTATACCGTCTCTACAACAACTTGCCACGTTCATCTTTCCTGCACACAAATGTAGAGACTGACTGACTCACTTGCTCACTCACTCAACCATGCATCTATCCAAGAACACAACTCACACAAGGCCACCGTCATTTCCAGCTGTTGAAACCAGACCCCTGGTTTCAGACAGCTGAATCGAGGGCGAGCCGGGGGGGGGGGGGGGGGGGGGGGGGGGGGGGGGGGGGGGGGGGGGGGGGGGGGGTTGAGAAGATAAGTGGGGCTGGAGAAAAAAATGAGTGGCTGAAAAAGGGGAGGAGACATAGAGGAAAGGCTTGGAGGATAATGGATGACATATCAAGAATCTGCAATAAACTAATTACAAAAATGCCATATAAGGAATATTACATTTCCTGAAAATGAAGTGGAGGCAGATCATGGCTTTTTCTTTAAAAGGCAAAGGCAAAAAAAATTTTATTGATACAACTGAAGTCAAACTTAATTAGTCAAATCAACAAAAAGATGTTTAGTTAACTTTCTGTGCTGTGGCTTTCAGAGGCAAAATTGAGCCAAACTTACCAAAAATAAGACTAAAGTTGAACTTTGACTAAAGGGACCTGCTTTCAACAGTTACCGCCTAGGTGTCCATATGTCCACATTGTCTCTACAAAACACCATTAATGCTCATTTACAACTATAAGATGACATCTTAACCCATGGTGAAATCTTCCACAATGCGTCCAATATGAACTTCCTTCAGGTGTGGGCTTTGATTTAAAACACTGACAAAGTGATCAATAAATGAAAAGTGGGGTTGAGTGGAGGGGTGGAGTAAGGGGTAGTGGGAGTACAGACTTGGGTGAATGGAGACAGAGGGAGGACAGAGAGGAGGGGTCGGGTGGGCGTAGGTGTGGTAAATCTACAAATAGCTGCGCTCTGCGCCTGGCATTTCTTCACTTAGTTTCCCTCCCAGTTGCCCAGTGGGACAGTTGGGTCTCAGCACCTCAAGCGGCTCCATCAAATCCACAAGCCAGCCAGCCATGAGCAAGTCGTACTCCGCTTCAGCCCAGTCTGCCTCTTCGTACCGTCGCACCTTCGGCTCCGGCGTTGGTTCATCACCAATGTCTTCCCTCTTCTCCTCTGGAGGAGGCCGCAGCTCCTCTTCAAGCCACATGTCTTCCAGAGTCTACGAGGTCAAGAGCTCTGGCATTCCCTCCTTTTCCGGCTACAGGGTGTCCTCTGGTGCTGGAGGAGCTGGGTTCGGCTCCTCTACAGCCATGCGCACCTATTCCGGCGAGAAACTCGACTTCAACCTGGCCGATGCCATGAACCAGGACTTCCTCAACACAAGGACCAATGAGAAGGCCGAGCTTCAGCACCTCAATGACCGCTTTGCCAGCTACATCGAGAAGGTGCGTTTCCTGGAGCAGCAGAATGCCGCACTGACCGTGGAGATTGAGAAGCTGAGGGGTCGCGAGGGTCCCGGGCGTGTGGCTGAGCTGTATGAGGAGGAAATGAGGGAGCTGAGGAGGCAGATAGAGGCCCTCTCCAACCAGCGTGCCCGAGTGGAGGTGGAGAGAGACAACCTGGGTGATGACCTGCAGAAACTTAAGCTGAGGTAAACTGGGATGGATTGAATTGTACCAATGTGTGGGTGAATGGATGAATGATCAAAAAGGTACTATAAATTAAGTTATGTAAAGCCACTGCATTTGTATAAGTATGTATATTTGACACTGATATGTCTTATGACTTTAACAATAAGAGTTCCCAGAAAAGAGGTGTACTTTGGCAGGAGTGGGCGACAGATTCTCTTGCAGAAAGATGAACAACAACTGTATAATTTAGAGTTTAGTTTCTGATACATGGTACTTCTGCCTACATCAGAGGCTCCCAACCTTTTTGGCCTGTGTGCCTTTACAGCAGAGCAGTTTCTACTCCGCACTACAAACACATCTATGAGTTGACATTCCCTTCCCAGATTGTTTAATTTCAATAGTTTTTAGAGGCCGGGACAGCTTAAACTCTTTGTATTTCATTTTTTTCTCTTTTCCAATCTTGGTAATCATCTTGTGATCTTAAAGATTTATCTCACAACTCCTCAGAGGATCTCAACCCATAGGTTGGTAACTGCTGCTACACATTAGAAAAACAGAGTTGACACATTGCAGGTTGATAAATCGAGGAGATATGGGAAGCAGGAGAAGAGTAAGAGTGAGTAGAGTGTTTAAGGTAGTTTTCCTGATGCAATAAAATGGAAAAGTTAAAAACCCCAACATGTGGCCTCCATGATGACTTACTGATTTCCAGAGGTGTCGCGTCTCTTTTGGAGGAAAGGGAAAGAAAATAAAAAAGAAGAGATTTGAGAATATGCTCACTTTAATGAGTGTTACGGTCCACCAACTTTTTACAAAGGTATTTTATCATTTGTTCACAGGAGACGTAGCAGGAAAGAGAAATGAAAAGAGAGAGAGAGAGAGAGAAAGAGACTTGCAGACTCATAGGAATAAAGATGAGACTGACAGACCGACAGACAGACAGATAAAGTTTCAGTCAGACAGACAGTGGTACAGCAGTCAGACAGAAAGAGAAGTAGACAGATGGAAAAAAAAAAGAAAAACAGATGAACACTCACGGCCTGTTATGTGTGTGTGTATGTGTGTCTGTGTGTGTCTGTGTGTTTACAAAGAGAGAAAAAATGAACAAAGATTTCAAAAAGACCACCAAACACATGTAGCTTGTGTGTGTGTGTGTGTGTGTGTGTGTGTGTGTGTGTGCGCACGTCTGTGTGTGTATGTGTGAGTCACAGAGAGAGAGCGAGAGAGAGAGAGAGAGCTGTGATGTGGGTGTATCGCTGAATTGTCTATTTGTAGCTACTAGGTCAGCTCTATGAATTTAGAATTTCTGTCACTGCAACAGCAAGAAACATCACTTAAATGTAAGTGTATATAGAGGCACACACACACACACACGCACACACACACACACACACACACACACACACACACACACACACACACAAACACTCACTTTCTCTTTATCAGCCCTTTTTAAATTGTTGCCTGTAGCACAGAGTGAATCTTGCCAAGGCACCTGCTGCTCCCACTGATATCAAAATACTCACAGAAACCTCCTGCCTGCCAACAGTCACAATGCCTGCATGCAGACACACAGGATGATGGCAGAGTTTAAAGATGGCACCTGCATCTCAATTATATATTATAAAAACAAAGTTATCCTACCAATTTCTTCTTTTTCCTGCAAGATACTTTGCTGTACCAGCAAAAAAACAAATAAAATGCAAAAAATAAAATGTATTTGCCGCACACGCGTCAGCAACTAAAACAAGACACTGCAAGGACTACAGGGCTGTTAACGGGAATAGCACAGGTGGAAAGTGTGAAAATATGTTCTGCAGAGGCACTATGGGGCTGTTTAAGTATGTATAATATGCTAAGTGCTGCCCCACTGTTCCAATTAATATGAAAAAAAGAAACAAAATTTGCATCTCCACCTGCAAAGCTATTTAAATTAACATTTAACAAACCTTAGAATAAGCAGAAATGACCAACTAGTGACTCCTGAACCAGAGATACTTTTGCAGTCTGCATTTTCTACACTTTTCTACACTTCCCAGTTGCTCAGGCTGCATAGTGAAATGCTAATTCTGGATACTGTAATAGCCGAGGGCAGACCTCTGTACCTTCCTCAATGTTACCCTTCTGACTCTGACAGTGTGAGAGCAGCTGCTTTAGGACTCAAAGGGCAATGCACAAGTGTGTGTGTGTGTGTGTGTGTGTGTGTGTGTGTGTGTGTGTGTGTGTGTGCGTGTGTATGGGTGTGTGTGTATGGGTATGTGTGTATGGGTATGTACAAAATAAACATTAGATTGTGATGTGTCATTGTCCAGTCCAGTTCTATTCTTATAAATTTACAGGCAGACAAAAAGAGCTGAGAGAGTTTATCTGTTTAGTAATTGGTCCCCGAGGAAGAAACTATGCCCTCAAGCACAGTTGTCTTGTTTGTATGCACTTATGTTTCAACTTTCCTGTGTCTTTTTGCCCTCTTCCTCTTTTCCTCTGCTGCTCTTGGCTCTCTCCAGACTGCAGGAGGAGATTCACCAGAAGGAAGAGGCTGAGAACAACCTGTCTGCTTTCAGAGCCGTATGTCTTTATTTCCATAAAATCACTCCAGTATATTTCAATCTTTAGTCATTTTCTCCTCAGAGCTTGAAGCAAAAAGTGAGGTTTTCCCTCAGTCTCATCCTTAGCCTGGCACAACTTTCCCTTTTATCTCTCATCAGCCACTTACTTCATCTCCATTGCCTCTCAATATCCTGTTCTCGCTGCACCTTTTCACTTTTTGTGTTGGTTGTCACTACAATTTTTTTGTGTTTGTATCCAGGATGTTGACAATGCTACTCTGGCCAGGCTGGACCTGGAGAGACGCATTGAGAGTCTGCAGGAGGAAATTGCCTTCCTCAAGAAGATCCATGAAGAGGTTTGTTGATCTGACTGTAAATTTCTTTTCTGGCTGCCTCCATTGAGGCCACCACACCTACAGTAATATGTCTATGTACTATGTGTGTCATCAGGGCGGTGTGTATCATATAGCAACTCTGCGTGAAGATATGCTGTAATATCAGATCTGAGCCTCTGTAGGCACGCAGCTCCCCAAGGGATCATATGTTTGACACTTGAACACACCCCCTGATGTTAAAACATATTTATCATGCACATTCACTCATTGTCGCTCTCCTTCTCTCCAACCTCTTCCTCCCTCTACAAAAAATGTACAAAATTATACATGCAGCGCTTAAGCAGAGCAAAAGCAATAAGTGCCATGGCTAAATTTGTGCACGTTCACTTGCAGACATCAAAGGACATAGTCAGCCACACAGTCAGACACGTGTTGGCACTCTTGAGGTCCCTTCTTGTCATTTTGTCTTCCCTGCCTCCACTTTGACCTCTCAGAAATGCTGAACTGTGGATAGGTTAAAGAGAGCATGTCAGCTGTTGTGTGTGTGTGTGTGTGTGTGTACATTTGTGTGTGCATGTGAACAGATGCAAAGCTATTTATAGCTTTTGGTTAGACCAGAGGACAGCTGAGTGGGACCAAAGCTTACCAATTTGAAGCTTGTAGTTTTACACAGCCCAAATCAGCTCAGTGCCATTCTGGATTTCCAATAATATTTTAATAACGTTGCATCAGTACACCACTGGGGAAATTAACAGTCTAACTTTTTGTGCAGATGATACATGTTGATATATGTTTTAAGAACTTGCAGTGTCAAGTTATTGGTAAAGTGTTGTGGTTGTGAGAGGGACGAGGTTTAAATGAGAACCTTGCTTTCAGTTTCTTTATTGTCAAATTCCTCCAGAAATCCATTCTTTTTATCTTTCTAACCCTGCTGTTATTTTCCCATTTCTCTTGTCACCTTGCAGGAGATCCGTGAGCTGCAGAGCCAGATGCAGGACACTCAGGTCCAGGTCCAGATGGACATGTCCAAACCCGACCTGACTGCTGCTCTGAGGGACATCCGCATGCAGTACGAGGCCATCGCCGCCAAGAACATCGCAGAGGCTGAAGACTGGTACAAATCTAAGGTATGGATAAAGCGCACACACACACACACACACACACACACACACACAGATAGTCTCTTTCAGATGTCACACTGTCTAAAATCTCATCCCTTCTCCCCTCAGGTGTCTGACCTGAACCAGGCCGTGAACAAGAACAACGATGCTCTGCGTCAGGCCAAGCAGGAGAGCATGGAGTACAGACACCAGATCCAGTCCTACACCTGTGAGATCGACTCTCTCAAAGGCACCGTGAGTATTGACTTCAACTTCTCACACTTTATTCCAGTAGATTTAATACGTTTGGTTTATTTTCTCTTTACTACTCTGTCCCAGTCCCACTTCTAACCTCATGTCTCTGTCCCGCCTGTAGAACGAGTCTCTGCTTCGCCAGATGAGAGATATGGAGGATCGTATGTCCCGCGAGGCCTCTGGTTACCAGGACACTATCACACGGCTGGAGGAAGACATTGCTAAGATGAAGGTAATTAGTGTAGAGATTTTACGCTGACTCCTTAGTCCATGAATCCACTAGATTTTAGAAAGCAGTATAAAACAGATACAGAATTCATGATGTTGCTGGTGGTAATAATTGACAAGAGCTCATAGACTGAGCCACTGCATCACTGATTATGAAAATTATCAAAAGCAATCTTGAGTGCAGCTGAAACTTCCAGTTGGCGCACTGTCTGTGTTTGTGATTTCAAAACAGGATCATTGATGTTTTTCTAGTTGTTTTTTTTTTTTTTTGAGAAAGAGAGAGAGAAAAGTGTTTGAGCAGGCAGTGAAAGCTTTTATGAACTGATTTAAAGGATGATATGGCCCGCCACCTGAGAGAGTACCAGGACCTCCTCAATGTGAAGATGGCCCTTGATATTGAAATTGCCACCTACCGCAAGCTGCTGGAGGGAGAGGAGAGCAGGTGGGTGTTTGTGTGTGTGTGTGTGTGTGTGTGTGTGTGTGTGTGTGTGCTGTTCACATTCGAATGTGGGTAGAGTTAGACAATATTAGTCCCAAACTGCCCATACTAAGGCTATCAATCTGTAATAATCCTATTGTTACTGACCTGTAATGCTGCATCATGTGCTCATCCTGTTTACAGGATCACCACCACCGTGCCAGTCCAGTCTGCCTATTCTTCCATTGGATTCAGAGGTAGGAAAAAACACTACACATTCTTTCCTTCGCACAAAAATACCCACAAAATCCATTTTACATTCCAGATGAGTCAATGAGGGGATGAAAAAGACTAATTATAGCTTGTGACTGTATATGGTAATTGCTATTTTGAGGCTATTACATGTTGCATATCTGCAGTGTCACATTCTGACCACTGTGTGGTGATATGTGACATGTCAAAAACCCCTATGGCTCTTTGATTCACAGAAGCAATCATCACAAAGCCACGAATCAATAAACTCACAACTTAGCCTCTTCATTTGATGTATTAACAGTTGGAAAATGCCATTCATCTCTGCCACTACCTCCCGATGTCCACTAATTAGAAACAATGAAATATAATTTGAGATGATGTAAGAGGTACAGCCATGATTGATTAGTACCAGTGATTTTGTATATGAGTTTGAATATTACACTTTTAAGTGGGAGTCATACGAGCTCTGCATACTGTTTGATGACTCTCATCAATGCTGATCAACCTCCTAAGAGCAATACTGAACTAATGTCAGTGTCTTCAAGCTAAATGAGCTTTGTGGAGCTGCAGCAAAGCTTAATGTGATGAGTCTATGAACGAGTGTAAGAGCTGTTTGAATGTGTTCTCACAGAGACCAGCCCTGAGTCCCAGCATCAGCGCTCATCAGAGGTTCACTCCAAGAAGACTGTTCTCATCAAGACCATCGAGACCCGCGATGGAGAGGTTTGAGCGCACACACACATGCGCACGCACACACACACACACACACACACTTTACATGTGTAGAAGTCCATCCCAGACATACTGCCAACATAAACCATACACACAGCCTTACAGTATACAATTTAATAAAAGTGTTGCTCCACAATAGCTTAGCTGTTGAGAGATGACACTGATAATAATCCAGCTGAGTTGTTTTTATTTGTTACTGTATATTCTTATGCAGATGAAGTATTCTATGAGCCAGGGCGCTAGTGCTCAGTGTGTAAGTCTGGTTCCAGTGTCCCACCTGCCACCTGTTCACTATGGGTTTCAGCAAACTACCAGATTTTAAAAGAAAATGCCTCTGTTAAGTTTGATTTCTTCTCCACCTTTGCATTTCCATCTGAAATAGGCTAAAGTTCACAAGTGCATTTCACAGCATGGAGAAAAAAGGTAACAATCAGCAGGAGATGAAATGTTAGCTGCAGCAACATTTGTGGTCTCTGACTGAATGGCTGGGATCTTGTAGTTTGCATCGACCCTGTGTAGACACTTGGCAGCAACACTTCACACTGGCTTCTATGAATAAGCAACTTCACTGTCAGTGGTTACTGTTGCCCCCCTGCACGGCACTTCACTCCAAACAATACCTGCACTTAAGGGGCGAACAACAGTAGCATCAATATCAGCATATTTACTGTTGATAGAGAATACACTCACATGATCTGCAACACTCTGCAGACTTTAACATAGGTAATTAGTGTTGTTTGCTTCTTTTGTTACAATTTACAATATCTCTTTTTGTCTTCCTCAGGTGGTCAGCGAGTCCACACAGCACCAGCAGGACATCATGTAAACAAGAAGAGGCAACATTAGAAACACTATATATGACAAATCAATAAAAAAACAGTGCAAACATTTACATCTTCCTACCACCTACCTATTTATAAGCTGAGCCCATTTTTAGATACAGTTTGCTGACCATTTCAGCCAAAGCACAAAATTATATAAGTGAATGCAACCTGTAGACTTGTACATCTTTGCACAATGTGCTGTATACATAATAAACAGGATAGAGGCACTATGGAGGTATGAGGCACTGCCTGGTTTTAAATAAAAGCCATTCCAGAAATGTATACTTTGTTCATGTTACTTTCCATCTTTCAAAAACACCTGGATTTGTCCTACTTTGTCTGCTAATATGATCCAAAAGCAAAGATACAGTTTAAAATAACAACACATCTTTTGTGTAGCTGTATTGGCCCAATATCTATAAGGACGTCTGCAAGGCACTAGACAGATCGATGGCCGTGAAACACTGTGGTCAAAAACAATAATGTACCAGTAATTTTTCACTGCACATATTCCAAGTCTTTGACTTGATCAAGGAGGGCTTTTATTTGTGTAACTGATTTAAGGAACGTGAAATGTTGGTCTAAGTTTTGAAATATGTCAGAAACACAAACATCTAATGAAAAAGGAACTCAGTCATGTTTTAAGTTTGAGCTCAGAAGCATGTTCTGGGTGTTTGATCGTATGTGTATGGGTAACCATGGTACGGTGCTTCATTTTGACAAAAGTCTCAAATAAAGACATTTATTATCACCATGTGTCACTTGAATTTGTTTGTATTTTGTCACAAATGAACGTCTTAGATTGTTGTTTTTGTCTGCACATAGCCCAGAGAGGATAAGTGCCTTTTCATTGGTTCCCTTATGAACTGTTTCTACCCACTGCATTCATCATCTGATGTGGACTGTATTAGGCTTCTGAAAGGATACAAGCTTTCCCAGCCAAGCATAACACCCCTCTGTCAACATTTAATTCACTTTTAGAAAGAAAGTAGGAGTTGCAGTTGTGTTGAAATGATCAGTAACGGGACTGGTCTTGGTGCAGAGAAAAGTGAACAATGGCTTGTTAATGAGCTGGTCCCAGTCGTGCTTTGTTTCCAGCAGAAAGAAGATTAGCGCAGCACCAAGAATTACAGTCTGTGCAGTTTGTTTATGAAGTCACTGGACTGAAAATGTCAGTGGAGATAAAAAAAGAAAGAAAGAAAGAAAAAAGCTAGGGTGGGGGGAGGAAAGTGAGAAGAAAGACACAGAAAATAAATGAGCATGCAAGAAAGAGAGCGAGAACTGGAGGGTGGTACAGAGAGAAAATGAGAAAAATAGAGGGGACAAATTGAATGAAAAGGTTATTCAGAGGCACGGGAAAAGAAACGAGAGGGAGATTTTATGAGAGATAATAAGGCACAACAAAGAAAGACACACGGAAAGAAATGAAGAGAGACAGAAGGAAAGAAAGAAAGAAAGAACGAAAGAAAGAAAGAAAGAAAGAAAGAAAGAAAGAAAGAAAGAAAGAAAAAGTAATTTCTCTGCTTTTCCAGTAATTAGTGGAGCCATGTTGGTCCTTCCTGTCTCCATCACTGTTCCCTCACACTGCTGTCAGCGGCAACAGCTTCCCAGTCATTATAGGTCAATAAAAAAGGGCAGCATGTTCCTCTGTTCCATTTCCTTCGAATGAAGCCATTTTACCTCTTTGACCCCTCCTCTGTCAGCTGGTCAAAGTGCATGTTGACAGCATTCATTCTGGCTTGCTTTTTGTGCCGCTTAAAGCTTTTTTTTTTTCTTTTTTTTTTTTTAAAAGCTGTTTGTAGAAAACACTTCTCATGAATGCACCTCTGATTGCATTTATATTTGACAGACTCAGAGCTGTACCATTTGTTGTTACATAACTGCTGCACTGTAGTTTCATATCAGTGCAATGTAGCCTGAAACTAATAAGTCAGACCACATCACTGCAAACAGCATGAAGATGAGCTCAACCAGCCAACCAGATGCTTTGTTTTACCATGTGTCATGTTTGGAACTCCTCAGTAGTTCTTTATCGTGGCTGAGCTGCAGAGCAAGGAAAGAAGGGGAGGAAGGAAAATGTAATACAGAGACAGATGTATCAGTGTTTGGGAGAGCTTTTTACATGAACAAATAACATGAATAAACAGTCAATTTGCTGTGTTTTTTTCTAAGAATTGTGACCACAACATTTTTTTACAAGTGAAAAATTAACTTGTTATTCTGTTTGACAATAGTCCTACGAAGCTGCTTACATGGCAAATGAAAATGAAGATTCCACTCTTATTTCCGTTTACATGCGGCCATGCATACTCTAACTTCAACCACCTTCATGAAAAGGCAGGTGTTGCAATATTTGTGATCTAAAAACCTGTTGATAACCAAGTATTTCATAATGTTTAATAATAGATGTGTTTTTCCTTCCATTCAGAAATTTGAGCTTTTCTTTTTCAGCATGCATCTCTAGCCTAAACTTGTAAACTGTTGCTGTGTACAATATACAGAACTGGCTGCAAACAGGCAAGAGGCTATGTATCCCTCATGTTTAAATGAGAAACTGCTAAATTTGGAAAAAGGCCACATTCAGAATATCCAGAACAGAATGTGCTGTTTATATGACCCACGTCAACTTCTGAAATTTGTCAAATTAGGAATGATAGTGGAATATTAGTGTGCATGTAAATGTACTGACATACTCTGAAATAGCTCAACCCTTGTTTGGCATTTCTGTGCTGCAATTTCTTGTAACTTATCAGCCCACACATACACCAATACTTGTAGATCTGCAATAAGGTAATACCTGCCGATTTAGCGTCCAGGCTAACTACTGGAATAAACATCATGTAGCATCTCATAGTAAGTTAAGTATAAAGACGACTCCAAGCAAACATTATTTAGTTCTTTGAACTGAGACTGCAATGCAGAGTGCGTTTGTTTGTGCTCATGAATGTACGTCTGTGTATGCAACTTTGTAGTAACAGTAGAGACAACAAGACCATTAGATTGTAGAATCACAATGTTTATCATATTTTAGGTCCATATAAATTCATGCTCAATAATAATAATAATAATAATAATAATAATAATAATAATAATAATAATAATAATGACCAGGTTATTTGTACAAATTTAAACAGGGTGGTAGGAAAATTAATTGCTGTCTCGCAATTATTGAATTACTGATAACTGCTGATAATCATAGTCAAGGCTCAGTTTGTTATTGTTGATTTTCAACATCATACGTTGAAACACCAGGATGACAATGATACAAGTGCATCCACCACCCGGCCAAATGAAACCAACTGGACATACAGTAGTAACACAATATAAAACAAGTCTACTCCGTTAGAAAATAATCAGCTGGATAAATTACATAACATAAACGATCATGGCATAAAGATGAAAAAGGGACCAATCATTTGTACATTGAAAAACTATTTACAGTTCCAATATCTACAATAAAAGTGTTCCCCCAAAATATATTCAGCATTGATAAGCAATCACAGAAAATAATAGAAATGAAAAAAGCAAATTTAAAGAAGAGTAATAAAAGAATTATTTGTTTTGTCCCTTAATTACAAGCAAGAGAAGAGCCAATGTTTAGAATTAACCTTTTGTTTCCAAGTAAGGACAGTGATAATGTCACAACTGCACGACAATTAAACCACAAAAGAAGAACAAAACAGGTCTGAAATGTAGGCAAAACCCAAAATAACACTTGAACAGCCACTACCGTAAAACATTATTGGAGTAACACTGATACAGCAAAACAGAAGGTGACTTAGCATAGTATATGTCAAGAGGAGGGAAATTATTCAAATGCCTTTCCAAAGCCCTTTAAAATGGACAAAAATAAGAGAAGAGAAGAGAAGAGAAGAGAAGAGAAGAGAAGAGAAGAGAAGAGAAGAGAAGAGAAGAGTTAGACATATTTACTGGGACTGAATAGCTTTCAAAGGTGTTTGTTGGTTACTAAAAAAATGCACTGTGGTCACTGAAAACAATCAGATTACAACACTCACTTCTGCATATTGTTCATATTGAAGTACATTACACTTCAGGCCATCATCCTTCCACAGTTTTTACTTCATTCAGTCGACGTTGAAAGTGTTTTGTGCACCCTGGGACCAACAAATTAAACTGGAAATCTGAGGGGTTTTTTTTACATGACAACAGTGACACACTGAAACACTGACACATTGGAAACAGTTACACAAGGATTCTCATGCAGTAATGGGTTAAGGTGTAAATTACTAGTCCTCCATTCCCAAGTCCATCACACAAAGAACTGTAAAGCCTGCTAATTCCATGCACCACCTCAGTATTTAGCGGCACTTTAGTATTTAAGTATAGTAGGATTGTTTTGTTGATATAAACCTCAGAAATAAAATCTACATAAAAATAGATAATACATATAATCCAAAAGGCCATGATTTCTTCCCAATTAGAATTAAAAAACAAACAAACATTTATGCGTTGAGGAATTCATTTTTGTATTTTGGGGTATTCATTTGTGTATTTTTACAGTAGCATTTAATCACAGTTGGAACAGTGACATTGTTTATTATGGGGAACAACAATATCTCAGTTCCAAAGAGGTTCAAATAAAACAAAAATAGTTCAGCTGCAATGAAAGTAATTCCTTTACACATCTATCTCCCTCAACTCTCTGGATGTTCAGTACAACAATAGCAATGTTAGCACATTTGATTTTAAAAGCGAATCACACGCAAATGCATGTACACACAAACATATTCACACATAAGTCTAGAAAAAAAAGGTCCAGTAGTAAACATTAGAGGGCGCCATTTACAAATGCTTTCATCTTTTCACAGGAGATTATCTTCATTTAAAAAAACCTCCTTCTTTTCATCATCTAACTCTTCACCCAAACTAAAAGGGTCAAATTTAAACAGACCAGCATTGTTGAAAAAGAATCAAAACAATAGAGCACGTTCTACATACATTACAATGATTCCCCCTCTCCCTGCCCGATGTTTGGTACAAGCCGTCACTTGCCACAGGGCTCATGTGTCCACTCACACACACAAACACACTATATTTAAAATTTTTACTGTCATGTATTGTCCCCTCCAAACAGATTTCAATGTCAACAGTCAAACTCCTGGACGACCAGTTATCAGACAGCAGTGAAATGTCTTTGTGCCTTAACAGCGTGTTTGAACAGCTGACAAATTCTGTAAAGGTAGATTGTTGTTGGGAAAGGAGGTGGAAATGGAACATGAGAGCACTTAGAAACATGTCAATAAACAGAATTACATACAGTAGCTTTGAATTTACCGGAAAGAGGAAAGAAGAGGGGAAGCATGGATGTGTTTCCTGCTCAGGTCCGTAATTTAAACAGTTGGAGATTGACGGCACAAGGAAAGCAATAAGATTGTAGCACATTCCCCTTGGAAAATGGCAACAGCATTGGAAATGACACGTTGAGTGTTCATGGGAGAAATGAGATAAAAATTGTCTTCGGTGTGAGCTGCTTAATACAATGCACACCTAAAACCAGCCCCACTGCTGCATTTTGAAGCAGCTGCCATTATTTGGATTCAAAGGCTGTCAGTGAAGACAACAGGCTGATTTCATGAACACCTTAATTTACATGCTGACCTTTCAATAGAGAAGAGCTGCCTTTCTGTTGTAGTGTTAACTGTATTTTTTATGCTATTTTCTGTCATTTTCCTCTGAGTGCTCTTAATGGAATCCTTAAAGCAAATCATTTCGTATCTTGACAACACAAATACCATGTGATGCATTTTTATCTGAAATGGCGCAGCCTCTTGAGGAGAAATTTGTGTTTTGACCCACCCCCACATCCCCCCGCAATACCACTGGATATTACTTCCTAGTGCTTGAAGCAACCAAGTCTTTAAATCAAATGTTCAGCAGAGACTGTTCAATAAGTTCCCAACAAGGCAGGTCCAGTTTTTTCCAATGTCCTCCAAATAAGTACATTGAGAGAAGAGCCAGATACAGTGTGTGATGACACATGATGTCTGAGATTTGACCACATTACCTTCAGCTACAATCAGTGTTTGCTCCTTTTTGGCCATTTTGTTTTGACATTCAAATAGAGCAAAACAGGACCAAACTGAACTAATAAATATAACCTTTACCAGGTCTGAGTGGAGAAAACCAGTGTGAAACTCAGTCATACCACCTTTGGGGCATATTGAGTTCCTGTTAGGATAGGAAGTTGATTAGGATGGCACCATAAGGTTAGGTTTTCTATCCCTAACTGTGACAAAGAGTTTTGAAGTAGCCTAATGTGATTGTGCAATTGTGTGTGTGTATGTGTGTGTGTGGATTTGTGCATTTCGCTGCCTCATATGCGAACTGGGTGTCCGCTGGGGGCTGTGAGGGGCACTTGAGAGCCACAATCGTAGTCGAGCTCGGCCATCCTGGAACGGCTCATCATTCGACTGTGGGAGTATGCCCGTCTGTCAGTCTGTCTGTCCCTGAAACTCCTGATGTAGCTCTGTTGACAGACAGACAATACAGGGTTGATTCAGGAATCTTTAGAGTACAGGTGTAATAACAGTAAAGTGCACAAACAGCAGTTGTGTTTGTAATCAAATTCACTTCTTATCAAATCAGTTAATATATCTTCATGGTCCGCTAGCTGTCCATTCTGTTTATGTGCTGAAAAGCAGTTTACCCTTCTGTCGCTGCCGGACCGTGTGGACTTTTAAATGGGATTGATTGGGAGATTGCAGACCAGAGGTAAAGGCGCATGGAGGAAATTTCTACCGGTGGCAGTGTGATGATGGAATGAACTCCACAACATAATTGCACTGTCAAGATGTAGAAAAGGCTGAGGAAGACCCAAAGAGAAGGTCAGAAAAACAAAAATAGAAAAAGAAGTGCTATGATCAGGCAAGGGTGGAGAGCTGTGTTAACACTGATTAGTTGGACATGGAGGACATGGTGGGACCAGGAAAGAAATTCACACCTGGGCTTATCCACCACTACTGACCCGCACACCAAATGACAGGCACGCAGAGATGGCTGGGCCAGAGATAGACCGATAAAAACATTTAAACATTTGTTGTGCTAGTCGAGGTAGCCAGTCCAACTATGGTGGAGAGACTCTGAGAGTTGAAAGGCATGAAGATGGACACTGAGTTTGCTTTGTTTCTGCTTGATAGGTGGGTAACGATATCTTTGGGTCAGGTCAGGTCAGTTTTGTTTTGTCTAGTTTGTCTTTCTGATAGCCGGCAAATGGTTAGTTAGCAAGCAGGTACTGTTGTCACATTTGTGTGTTCAGTATCATTCAGTTGCCCACAGACATTTTGCTTACCTCTTAGTTGTCAAGATATGCTGTTGGTGTGATGTTAGCTATAGTAGCAGGAGGAGTTGTGAGTATTGCTATCTGCAGCTTGTGTGCTGCCTATGGGTAACCATCTTGCCCTCTCTGCATGTTAGCCTTGCAGCAGCAACTGTACCCACAGTTTTCTGTCTCGTTGTTTGCTCTGTATCATGTTATTTATCTGTACAATGTGCAAAGGGTTTTATAGCCACAAAGACACAAAGAAGTTTTCCTTCCATGCCATACAGGAGCCAGCTAGCTGTTTCCAGTCCTCATGCTAAGCTAAGCTAACTTGCTGCTGGTTCCAGCATCATTTTGAACACACTGACATGAGAGCAGTAACATTCTTTTCATCTAACTCTTGGCAAAGAATGCCAAAAAGCAAATTTCCATTGAAGGTTACATGGAACAAAATATAAACAGATAAAAACACTGAATATATTACAAATTTACAAGCTTCTTTTCATTATTTCTTGAAAATATTTTTGATATTTTTAATATTTTTTAAATGTCAAGATTAAGGGGACCACTGCATCTTACTGGTGATAGCACATCTCCATCAAAGCGCCTTTTGGGGTTGGCCTTGCGGTGGTAGCCGGGTTCAGTCTGTGGAGGAGGGACTTTAGGAGGCTGAGAGCTCTGGGCTTGATGATGTGGGTGGGATGCTGCTGGGTGGTGATACTGCTGGTGGTGGTGGTGATGGGTGTGGGCCTTCTGCTTGTGGCTGGTCTTCTGGGTCTGTCGCCTTTTCTTCTTCTTGTTCTCCCTCTCCTTCTTTAGCCTCTCTTCCCGCTGTCGGATACGCATGAGCTGGACCCTCCGTTGCTGTCGACTCAAAACCACTGGAGATGGAGAGAACAGAGGTGTGATAAATGTGCTAAATGTGTAGAAAGAAAGAGAGAAAGTGAATGAAAGATATTCATGAGGGGAGAGAGGATGATGAAGAAAGCTTTACTCTAGAAACAAAAGTAATCAAGTGATTAAGTCAAGAGGAAAGAATACTTTTAAAATCACTGAGACTGACAAGAAAAACAAGAGACATGTCCAATCTGATGAGATTAATTTTGTGTATTTTTTAATTAATGATGAACTATCCCTAGGGGGTGCAGTACAGACTACAAAAAGAAAAAAACCCACTATGTCCATTTCCTCATTGCCTTCTATTCAGTCAGTTGGTAGATGGATAATTTTCTTCAATGCATGTACCCATACTGAGCTGCTCAGTCTCTTGACATATTGTGAGTGGGTGAGAGTGTTTGTATTACTTTTGGATGGCCAAAATCCATCCTGTCTCACTCTCCATTGATTACCCATATTATTATTTTTGGGTATGTGTGCTTGTGCTATTTTGATTCATTGGTTTAATATACTGTGCAGTGTGTAGTGTTGTGTCGGGGATGTGTTTACTGTTCATTTTGTGAAGTCAAAATGTTGCCACAAATACGAGGACCCTGCTGAACTTCATGAAGACAAAATGTACTTTATGTATCATGGTCACTGTGTGTGTGTGTGTGTGTGTGTGTGTGTGTGTGTGTGTGTGTGTGTGTGCGTGCGTGTGTGGGTGGGTGGGTTGGTGTAGAAGTGTTATGAGGTCTATTGTTGTTTTTCATTGTGCGGGTGGACAGCTAACGAGGCACCATCTGCCAGGGAAACTGCTTAATGACACCCCCCCTTTTCTTTCCCTCAGCTCACCCCACCTCAGGCCCCTCTGGCCACATGCTACTGTGTGTGTGTGTGTGTGTGTGTGTGTGTGTGTGTGTGTGTGTGTGTGTGTGTGTGTGTCTCTGTGTGTGCTCTAGATCACCTGTCTTTGTCAGGACAAATTTGAGTTTTCGACCTTGGGAGTGAGGACATTTTGTTGAGTCTCCACTTCTGTAAAAGGCTATCTGAGAGTTTAGATTCAAGTTAGGGTTAAGGCTGGGGTTAGGGTTAGGGGCTAAGGAATATCAATGTGGGTCCTCACAAGTACAGAAGTACAAATATGTTTCTATGTGTGTTTTACATTGCCAAAAGAGAGAGAGAGACAGAGAGAGAGAGAGAGAGAGAAAAGCAAAATGTGTGTGAGCTAATTCATTTACCCTGTACCCTGCATGCTCTTCATTGAGCTGACAGACAGATTATTTTCCTCACTGCTCTACTTGGGTGCTCCGCTTACCCATCGTGCCCCAGTTTGTCACCCTCTCCCTGCCCCTCTCCCTGCCCTTCCCCCAGTACACCTGCTCCCTCTTTACTCCTTCACATCATTCCCCATCCTACTTTCTTTGTCAATACAGCGTTTGTCCACATAAAAAAGGTGCTTTCAGCAGTTAAAGACTACAAACAACCTGGCTGGAGTTCACTTGACATACTGTATAGGTTCATTTAAAGGGGTTTATAAGTAATACAAATAATGACTTTCCTCTTATCACTGACCAGCAGCCCTCATTTCTTCTTATATTCCCAGTCACAAGCCACAGGCCGTATCTACGGCAACAAGCATGCAATGCGCACAAAACACATGCATAACATACAGAAATGCAACAACGATGTTTTGCTCTCATTTGTTTCTTCTTGTTATTTTTTCATTATCATTCTTTATTACTTAAATATTATTATTGACCTTTTCTTTCTTTTTATTCTTCTGTGTGGGGGTCTTTACTTGCCATATTGCTGTAAACACGCTCACTATTAATTTCTGATAAAGTGTTTATTCATTATGAGATAACAGGTGTAATGAGGGATTTACATTGGGGGGATGGCTGGAAAGAGATCAGTACACAACGATCTAGTTTAACCATGTAGATAAGGTATAAAGGTTGTTTTGTACTTTAAAAGGTCTATTAGTATTGTATTTCTATTTTTAGGTCTTTTCTGTCACCAAATGTGGTTTGTGGAGTGGGTGGTTGTGATTGTCACTTGACAAGAGCTTCGGTCATCATTGCATTTACAAGACAAGAGAGGTTATAATATGCCCACTCTGCAGCCAAGTCTTCAGTGGTTAGCGTGCTAACTTCAGTAGAAGTAAGACGTGATAGAGACAACATTGGCGTTGCTTCCCACCGCTGGAGACAGCTCTTGGCGAGGAAAGAAATGAAGTTTGTTGCTGAACTCGCAAAGTCTAGACTGGTAAGTAAACAGCTGTTAATGCTAATGCTGGCTATGTAGCAATATGTCTTGTGGACAGTTTTTAGTCTACCCACACTAGAGACATGGAGTCTCTATCTCTTTCTAGTGCTCTTTCACCCACATCGAATTGTACATTTTTCAAAATAGCACTAAAAAGCTTCCTCTATATCTTTGCCCACACCCTCTGACTGGAAGCCATGGCAGCCTGGTGTTTAATCCCATTATTTGAGGCCATGTGTGACTTCTTCTAAGATGCTGTATAAATCTGCACATCACAGGCCAGCAAAGCCTAAATGTAAGAGCTTGTGTGTGTGTGTGTCTGTGTGTCTGCGTGTGTGTGTGTGTGTGTGTGTGTGTGTACAAATGTACACTATAGTTAGTGTATGAGTGAGTGAGTGAGAGACTGTGTCCCAGTATATTACTGTCTCTGTATTGTGTGTGTGCAATCTCGCCATCTGTGCTGTGGTGGTTTTCAGAACAGACGCTGTTTCTGTCAATAACACATTCTGTTGACAACGCTAATGTTGGTGTATTTAAACTCTCCCTCGCACATACTCTCACACACAGTCACACACACACACACTCTTCCCTGGCCTCATAATGGTTATGATTTCTAAAGCAATGACACTGTCCATTTCATTAATGCAGGATGGATCCGTCAGATCAGCTTGTAGTGGCCTTGTACTGGGATCAATACTGAAACAAGTCTCATCAACATTCTGTTGACTCAACGCAGTGTTCAAGATTAAACTTTAAATCAAATTCTATCAAATCAAAATTATAATGTTGTGTTAAAGTGCCACATTTGTTACATTAAGCTGAGTTAGTCATCCTTAATTAAACATCTCAGTTTCTCCTGCATGGGAATAGCAGCAGCACTGTCATTGGTGGTAAATACTGCAAAAATCACAGCCACAGTTCTGGCTATGGTCAACACCTCTTCAAGAAGTCTGCACCAGTGTTCCTCTTTTCAGAAGCTTGTGGCTATGGCCTACATTACCGCCAAGCTAGAATGGACACGGTGAGGTGAGAACGGCTTTTCTTGAATCAGTCATTTCTGAGCAAATCCTTCATGGATTCAAAAAGTTCCAGGCTGGTTGCAGACTGTAGCTTTATTCAGCAGTAAACTTACAGAGTGAAGTTACATTTAGGTAAATGAGGTTTACTCTTTATTCATGAGATGTGTATCTGCACATTTTCAGAAATTCATTAGCTTTTATGATGTTTTTGATTAAAATTCAGCACCAAGGAAGAGATCAAAGTCTCGGCTGCTGTTCTGAAATGTCGTGTGGACGTCTTCTGTCTCTCGCTCTTCCTTCTGTTAGCCTCAGACATGATTGTCACTTTCCCGAGGCCCCTGGATTTTTAATGGAATTTCTTTCAAACTTGCCATTCCTGCTTCACACCTGACCTCCACACCCAACTGCACTCCCTCATCCCCTCATTGGCTCCCAGTACCCCTTAAGTTGTCGTTTCCTGCCGAGCTGTCACTGTTGTCATATGCCAGTCCTTTCCAACTCCTCTTGCCTGCATCTATATCTGAACCTGTATTTACTGCCTGTATCCTGCTGCTGTTTCTGTAAATCTGCCTGTGTCTGCAACATGCTGCCTGACTCTTACTGCCTCTGCACCCTGTTAGATTTGTCTGCTTGTTTGTACTGACTTCAAACTGCTGAATAAGCCTGTTTTTGACAAGACATAGTAAGGTTCCTTCATTCAACCTGTTCTGCCAGCAAGGGTCTAGATCTGAGTCCTCAGCCTTGTTTCCAGTGCAGATAATAGCTAAATGCTACTGTGTTGCTAGTGTAGTGCACTGTAAGGGAAACTATTCTCATAACATGTTCTTTTCTGGTTGTAGCCATGTGTTGTTCATTTGTTTGTTTTTTTGTTTGTTTGTTTTTTTTTGGGGGGGGGGGTGTTTTGGTCAAAAAATCATGTTTTAGTTTAGTATACCATAAAAACACCTGAAAATTTCTACCTTTAAAAATGTCTTATACTGATTTAATGACTTGAACAGAGGAATCTTTGCCTTATTCTTGTAAATTACTGGATGATTCTACAACTTTGATTCTCAAAAACAGACCTAAATAATAAAAGAAAAAAAATAATGGTGTGGTTGAACATATTACAACCAGTAAACCTGTGCAAGTGGTGATAAGGGTCGCAAACTGACATGGCTTTTTTTAGGGTCACGAGCAAAAATGGTTCTGAAATAATGTTCTAAAGTATGGTGCTCCTACCGTATTGATATGTGTATCCTAACTTAGCTTTTGAGCCAAGTAAAGTGAGTCTGGTTGTGTGTGTGTGTGTGTGTGTGTGTGTGTGTGTGTGTGTGTGTGTGTGTGTGTGTGTGTGTGTGTGTGTACGGCAGCATCACTCACCCTCTGTGTGAGAAAATCCCTCTGCAGTGACTTTCCATTGGATCAGCACTCCAAGCAAGGCCAGGACAGGCCACACCCCCAAGATGACCCAAGTAAACCAACACACTGGCTTCTTTGGCGCCACCTGCAAAGATGACAGAATTTGCAATTTTAGATAAATCATTCAATCCTGAAAATCTAAAACTAAGAAAAACTATAAATTCAATGAACATTTACAAACCAAATTTAAACAGTTTTATCATTTCCTGTCACCCTGTAGACATGGTTAAGCTTCTATCGTATGACTAATATCATTCTGTTTGTTCTTCATTGTGGTTGTTTCATTCTACCCCTGAGCTGTCTGCTGTTCTTTGATCTTTTAAATGACATATGTAGTTGTGTATGTTGCCTTATGCCCTGTTTCAAACTATACTGTATGCATGAAGCAGCACTTGTTAATGCTGTTGATGTTGCTATTCCCCAGATTTTTAAACTCTGAACATAATTAATTGTTATGCTTGGCATTCTGGTATTAATTTTACTAATTAATTAACTTTCTCTTCTTTCATTGTTTTTATCCATAATTTTATGTATATTAGGTTCATATAACTTCAGATTAAAATTAGCCTTTGGGTATATTTACATTTACAGAAATGTTTATTAATGTAAATGGTCACTGTAAATAAATTTTAAAAAAAAAACATAAATTACGTTTCTCAATTTGTTTTTAAAGTTGTCTTGATAAGCCTTCTTGTTATGAAAGCACAAACACCAAAAACAATAATAAGATTAAATCTAATTGTTTGCAGGCAAAATAACATTTCTGAAGATGAAAGCACCTCAAAAGCAATACTTTCTATTCTGGATCTGGAGTGTTTCATTTGGAAATACTCAAACCAAATTAAATCTTAAACGACAACTGCTCCAGAAGGCTGCCCAGTGTCTACGTGCATAAATGTGTGGGTTTAATCCTAATGCATTTCTGGGTACAGTTCATTGTCTAGTCTCTGTAAGGCAAAAACAAGAGGTACGTTTAAAACTTGATCATACTTAAGAATTACATTCGATTTCGGGCTCCAAATCCAGAAATAAAACACAGAGAGTTTGAAAAAAAGACAGAAAATTGACTGTATTCCAATACATCACTATGACAGCATAAATTTAAAGTACCATAACAGAAGATTTTATCCTTATAACCCACCCTTTACTCAGCCTACCTTAGCCGCTCACATTTGAAATACACAGAGCTCCCCGTTCTCGGATAAACTATTGACCCACTCCTTCCTCTTAATTTCCAACCTGCAGGCGTACCCCAAGCTCCGGGCAAAGTTTTGCAGACAGTGCACCAAGGTGAAACGTCTAAAAATCGCTGCTGCTGTCTGCTCTATAAAGTGGTCAATATCAAGAGGTTTTATCGGTCAGTCTGTCTGACAGTCTGTCTGTCTGACAGTCTGTCTGTCTCTCATTCGCTCGCTCTCACAAAAACACACACACATCAACATCTGTGACCAAGGCAAACAGCTTCCTAAGCGAAATCCAGGGATGCAGCAGTGTTGTTTGATATACACACATGCAAGCTTACAGACGACTGCCCTCAGACATAATTAATAGCATCTCACCATCTCCCTCTGTCACTAACAGTTTACTCAGAAACAGACAGGCAAAGACAGAAACAGTTGAACTTACCCTGAGTCTCTCATAGATATAGTGCACCAAGGCGAACAGCTCTATAAAGTAATCCACGGTGACAGTGATGATGGCAGAGCCGAAGGTGGCCGTGGAGAAGGTGACGAAGCAGCACTGCCACTGAAGAGTGAGGACAGCAAATAACGTCCCAGAACCCAGGAGGATACCCAGAGGAACCCACACTGTTTTGGGGTGGTAGAACTCCTCCATGACCTTAGAGAGAGAGAGAGAGAGAGAGAGAGAGAGAGAGAGAGAGTGAGAGAGAAGGGGGGGGGGTTGTTTTAATCAGCAGAGTTGGGGCTGTGTCACATCACCATTTATGTTGCAAAAATGTGTATGAGATAAGTAAAAGCTGTGTAAAAGTGGCTAAAAAGTAAAATCCTTTATCTATATTACATATCCCTACTGAGCAGATTTAGAAGTGAGATTCCACTGACAGAAACGGCATCCATCTACAACCAAGACTAATCCATAGACAATCACAACCCCACATGCCATGCTTTCTGGCCCAAGAAGGCTTTCCTGTGATAATAGTACAATCATCATCATAAGGAGCACATTGTAAACATTTTTTTTGGGATAATGTATGCAAATGATGACAAATCTAGGAAGTGCACAACCAAATGTGTCTCTTACCACCAGTGAAGCCACTCCAACCAGCAGGCCAAGCAGCAGGCCTACCATAAACAGTCCCACACTTCGAACCAGCATGGTCACCAGGCCACACAGGGTCCCGATGCCCAGGCCGATGCCGACTGAGGCTTCTACGCTGAGCTGAGTGTCCATCACCCTCTCCTTGTAGCACAGCATGAAGATGACCACAGAGCCAAACATGAGGCCTGTGAGGAACAACACGGCCTTGAAGCATCGATAGCCTGGAGGAGAGATGGCAAACAGACCACAGTGAGGCTTTCACAAGCATGCAAACAGTGGCACGACAATATTTATTTTCAGTTCATCATCGTACTGTTTTCTCCATATTTAAAAGATAAAATCTTACAGGGAGGATGCATAATGAACACCAAAACAATAAGAGCCACCTTCCTGTGGTGTGTAAGGGAGCAGTATATGCACACACACAGAGGCATTTCCTCATTAGAGGATGATGGGAGCAGCTAAACGCGCTCTGCAAACCTTTATGAAACTGCTTTAAAATATGATAATCATCATATTGCAAAAGGTTATCCACATTCATTAGTCAACAGACCTGCTTAAAAGAACAGCTGTGCTCCTATTAGTTTCTTTTTTTTCTTTTCCCTATAGTCACTCCTGTCTGTCTTGGCTTTATCTCTTTTCCTCTCACTTACCAATTTATTTCGTTTTTAATTTGCTGAAAACTGAAAACCGACTCCAAAGCATTAAAAGCTCAAATTATCAACAGTTAAAATCTCTTTGTCCCTTGGTCCTGTGTTTATTTAATGTGTGCTTCTCTCTTTATTTTTTCTCTGTCGCTCCTTCTTTCTTTCTCAGACTGGACTGTGTCTCAGAGGGAACCAACATCAGATTGTTATCTTTGTGTACTCAGGCATTGCACAGCTGAGCCGAACAATACTCCTCCTCTCATCTGACCTGCCATCCATGCTCCTCCCTCGTGACCATAGCTTATTCATTTGATACACTTCTAGTTTATTTTTCTATTCCTTTCCACTCAATCGTCTGTGTTTTCCTTGAAATTGTTCAGCCACCGTGCCTTTACAAAAAAATAAAAGTGTAGTGAAAGCCATTGTATTCTCCACAGATATTTGCTCTTCTTCTGCAGCAGAATGCCTGAATGAATATAAGTCTGACACGGAGTAACTAGAGCATTTCCAAAGCATATACTCTACAGCCACCTGAACATTTGTTTGCTCAGTAGCCATCACAAATTCCCAACATTGTTCTTCCATATCAGATGGTTTCCATCAATCAATTTTGAAATATCACATCTCTCCTCGCCTGCTCCTATGCTTCTGGTTCACTTTCACTGTCCACTTTTCCTTTCCTCAGTCCTTTCATTCACCCGTTGTTGCACTGCTCCACTCCTCTGCTTATCCCTCCCACTCCCCTCTTTTGTTCCTTATTGCTTCCCTTACTTTCCCCCCCAGGCATCAAATCCTCTGTCCCATCTGTTCACTCTGGCTTTGTTCAGCTCTTCTCTCACCCTCCCTTCCCTCCCTTCTTCTTTCTTTCCCCTTGCCTCATCTGTCTTGTTTCTATAACATCACTCATCATTTCTACTGCAATTTTGTATTTCTGGATCAATAAGTGACAGCTAACCTTTTATTTCCAAAACCTTGGAACTAAATCACATTCTTCAGGGGCATCTCTCAAGAGGCATCTATCAGCAGGGAGAATCAATTTTCCTGCTGATAACCAGCAGAAATGTCTTTTTCCCTCATGTCATTCAAATATGACTGTGGGGTTTCTGAGAAACATTAGCAATATGCATTGCGTCTCATTTGCAGAACAGTGATTTTTTTTTGTTTTTGGTTACAGAGAAAGATCTGGTACTGAGATTGCAAATACACGTCTTTATCTTTTTCTCTTTTTCTCAGAATACAGTTTGCTATCAAACAAAGAGGCAAACAGACACCAGATGGTGTATTAAGTATTTGAAGTATAATAATGCCATTCTGTATTTGATTTTTGTTGTTATCTATTCTTTTTTTTTGGCAGCATGTATGAAACAGCCTTTTTGATGTGTGTGATTCAGATTTTTGTCAACTACGCTACCTTCAGAGCTGTCATTAATTGAGCTCATACAGAAAACATTAACATGCTAACATGATAGCATTTAGCTTGCTTAAACCAAGGACTCTAATGGTAGTGTGTTAATGCTAGAATAATGCTTGAAATACAGCTGTATATTCAAAGTGGGATACATCATGGTCTTTTGTCTGAAACCACCCTGAGGGCAAACTTGACATTTTCTGCCCTACTAGTGTTAAGGATCTACGAGTAGCAACGTTCTCTATATTTTTAATCCACCCAACTATTTTATTTCAGGGCCACAAGCCACTACAGTCTTGTTGTATACTGTTTGTAATGCAGGGACGGGTGCCAATACTTTACTGGGACATATAAAGTGAATGTTAATGCTGTCTGTGCGCCTCAGTGACTTCTTCTGTCTATTTGTATGCAACAAGCCTGCTCACAGCTTCAACAAATCAATATTCTTCCAAAATACAGCATACCTGTTGGTGTCTTTTGAATATCTAATATATAGTTTTATGCAACTTTCTATTTTATTTTTTAAATTAAATTAAATTATACATTTATGTTTTCCTGTATTTGACAGGGTTTGAGGGGTTGTCTTACTGGCAGGAAAGGTAAAGGAGGTAAGGGACCTAAATTGTGCAGGCTGTGATTTTATAAGCTGTATTACTGTATAATTCACATGCAATACTATAAACATTAGCAGCGAACAAGAAATCCGATTGTTTGTGTATTATTTGAGGTTAATGCTTAACTGCACACATTTCTACCTGCTTCTGTGGGATGATGCGTGCATGGCTCTAATGTGTATGTTGTGTTCTTGTTTGGAAATTAACTTTCCAATAGTATTTGTAGCATGTCCTGTTGGTCAAGTAGTTCATGCTGCAGACTATGTCACTATGATATTGACAGTTCAATTAGAAAAGTGTCTTTCAGTCTCTTTTTATTCTGTCTACTGTCTAGTAAAGGCGAAATGACAACAACAAAAAAAAAAAAAAACGATCAGCATGCATCTGACCTTGTGTGTCTGCATTCCAACAGCTGCTTACTAAACCATCATTAACTGGTGTAAAGGCAGCAAGAAGAAAATCTTGCTTCTTTAACCAGAAAACTGCTGCAAGTAAATAATTATACGTTCCCATAAGCCGACCCAAGGCGATACACAGAAATTAATTGTACCATTGGACAAAAATGCATGAGACATTCTGAACGCAGTGTCATTATTTGAGCACTTTTATGCAATTTTCCTGCTCACTATTCAAGTGGAGATACAATTTTCTACCCATCATTTTTTTGAGCAACACAAACAACCCTAATGTGGACAGCCTGTAGCCATTACAGCAGATTTTCTCTTTCTAATTATTTATTGATTGGTCTTTGCTGTAATGACTTTACATCCAAACTCATTAGAATTAGCCCTTAATACTGTGTATAGTCAGATGGACTCACTCTCTGAGCATGAAACGAAGGCTCAAATAAGGGGTTTTTGTCTTAACATATGAATGGATGCATGCATACAGTATGTGTCAGCAAAAACTCAGATGAAAAGACACATCTATGAGTCCAGTACTATTTAGGGTTATTAATTCTTCTCAGCAGGAAATGACAGCCACAAAAACATGTGCCCTTGACACTAGACTCTTGAATTATACGAGAACCCCCTAAAAGCAATTTCAAGCTTTTTATGAAATCACATTTTTCAGTGATCCCATTTAATGCATGAGAAATTTTTAGATATATTTTAGTACCAGCTCAGACCTTATGAGCACAGCTCTGACTTCACCATCACTCACCAAAGAAGCAGTAGATGATTCCAAAGAGGCAGCACATGGAGCAGACCACTGAGGGCACGATCTCGTATTTCCTCTCAATCTCCTGGTCACACCTGAGCCCGACCTCCGCCAAACCCAATAGTTGACTGGTAGAAGTCATGATGCCTGAAGTGAAGGGAAGGGAGGGGGGCAGGGGTGAGGGATAAAGGGGTGTGTAAGGATGTCTGGATCAGTGGGCCTCACCCACGGGCACGTGTCTACCTGCAAAACGGGAGGCACAGAAAGAAAGTGATGGAGAGAGGGGGAAGGAGTGAGATTAGAATGAGAGAAAGAAAAAAGAGAGAAGAGAGAGTGATTATTGATTGCTCATTTGAAGTACTCAGCAGTGAGTACAGAGCAGCAAGCATGGTCTATAATTTTGAAACTAGAATTATCGCTTCGCAGTTGTATACCTCACAGACTAATTTCAGGTAACATTCCTGTTTATCCAGAATCATGTATAAAATATGAACTATTTGTGTGAAATTTTGTCATGTAAATTCTTGAGTTGTGGTTTTGTGATGTCACCGTGACCTTGATCTTTGACCACCAAAATCCAATCTGTTCACTTGAGTCCATGTGAAAGTTTGAGTTTGTGCCTAGAGCAGCTTGGTGACAACAAGAAGAAGATGACTCTGCAGGGATCAATCTATAGATCAGAATATGGCTACAAATAAACCAATCAGAATAGCTACAAATTGACCAATCAGAATATAGCTACAAATCAACCAATTATAATGCAGCCACAAATCAACCAATCAGAATAGAGCTACAAACCAAAAGAAAAAAACAATCAGAAAACAGATACAAACTAACCAATCAGAAAATGGCAACAAATTTACCAATTAGCAAATGGCTACAAATTGACCAATCAGAATACAGCTGCAAACCAACTAACCAATCTAAACCAAAATCTAATAAGTTCACCCCTGAATCCAAGTGAATTTTTTTTGCCACATTTGAAGAAATTCCCTCACTGAGCTATCACATTGACAAGAATGGGATGGATGGACAGACAACCCAAAAACCTAATGGCTCCATAAAAAGGCATAAAAAGAAACAACTCAGCACAGCACAGCCGCTCTTACTATTAACAACTACCACAGCAGATGAAATGACTACATTGTAAATAAAAATTGCAATTCAGCCACTATCATTCACTTGGATATACAGTAGAGAGGTAGCAACAGATTGATGCCAACAGTTGGCAAGTATTGGACCACTAGCAGAAGATCTGCAGTGCACACATAATAGTTGCCATGGAAAGATCAACAGAATGCATTTGCATGAATTTGCATGGTGTGGGAAATTTGTGACACAAGAACTAGACTGTTAGTGAGCTTTGTATACGTGCCACAAAACTTTTTTTTAAGAGGGAAAAAAAACTCTTTAACAATTTTCTACTTAGTCGTGATTTGCCACTTCTCTGATCACCAGCTATAAATAATATATCAGCCAAAACCTTGCTGTTGAGGTGCCAAGCTGAAAGATGTCATAAATTTATATTGTACAAAGTAGTGCTGTGGTATTGACCATGTATAATGTTTCACCATTATCTGAAACATGCAGGACAAATATGAAACAACAGAGTATTATCCATTTCTCATGCAACAATCAGATTAATTGAGATGTTATCAAGCAAAAAACTAAAATATGATAGCTGAGGTCTTACAACACAAGCTGCAAGAGTAGCAAGGATTTAAAGATGCATTGAGAGCGGGTCTATGGCTGAGACAAAGGAGTGTTCCAAGACCAAATGTCAACATATCAATTACAGTGTATAGGAGATACCAGTGGGATGTGTGCTTAAGTGTAAAAACAAGGTAAAAACACAAACAACGGAACCCTCTATTTTGGATTCTAGTATTAAAGGAAGTCCGGAACAAAAACTCTTCAGAAATATTGTAGGTCTATGAGGGCAATATGCACTTGAAACCGTGCAAAAGATGAATAACAACATTTTCCTTAAGAGTAGCTGCACCAAAAACACATCACATGAAGGGAAGAACAAACTTAAGTTAAGTAAAGTATTGATCCTTACCTTTAGTAAAGTATTTATTGACTTAAACATACAACACTCATGTAAAAACATAATTATATTGCACCAGTAATTAAGTGTGATATAATTAGACTCCACTTACTATATGACTTTAATTTGTAAATGTTGCCACAGGTCCAATGGAGCTTTTGCTATTACACTCTTTGTCACTTATGAGCAATTACTGATTTCACAATTAATTTCATATTCCCAGTGTGTAACGTATACCTTAGAAGAGATGTACATAATGCACTGCAGCCCAGTATTAATAACTTTATTCCTAACTGCACTCCTTGTGTCCTTTTGGTCCCCAAGAGAGATCAGTCAGGAGAATCAGCTGCAGACACACTGCTTGAAAAAATCCAACCCTTTGCTTTTTCTTAAAGGTATTTCTGGGAACTATGTTGGATTAAAATGTGCCTGGAGCTTCAACTTTGGTCCTTTTTTTGTGGTATTTCTACCATCAGCTAATAAAAGAGATCAAAGTCAGCTGTGTTTCACATATTGATATTAGTGATAGCTGAGGGCAAATTCAGTCAAACACTCTGTCACACTCTACCCTGGCATAACACTAGATAACACACAGAATTTATAGATGTAGTAAGAAAAAATAGCATTAAACTAAATTCAACAAGCACATTTTTAAGCAATACACTGTGTAATGCGTGTGATTGAAGGCGCATAGACTCATGCTGTTAGCCACACACCCACACGCTGCCTGCTACACACTCATTCAGGCAGTAAATCCCAATGGTTTAATTTCCAGCTGGGGTACAAATTAAAATCTACTAAGCCTATAGACTCACTCCTTGATGGATACATTTAGATGGAAGTAAATGTCAGTATTTTACTCTGCATTATCATTATTTCACGAAACAAGTACTGTACTACATCTTTGATGCAGTCTTCAAGGTTGTTCTCTGTCTCCATCATGAAATCTCTTCCCAAGGCACTTTCATTAATGCATAGGTGTGAGTGTGTGCACACACACACTTTCTCAAGCTATTCCTAATCTTTACACATCTTCCCATTTCCATCACTTTCATAGACATCTGTGACTCCAAGTTTAATCTATCTGGACCTGTTTGCATCTTTTTACATATCTGCATCTACGTGTCTGTGTAGTAAAAATAGTCTGTGTACTAAAAATCCAGATTTCGGGAAGAGAGTTTGTTCTTTCCGGATCATAACTTTGGAAAATAAAAGCGAGGATTTACTAATGTAACAATTATAGCATTTTAGTGGTTCATTTACACTTCTAGTAACTGTACAAAAGTGCATCACTAACTCTCCAACCTCTCCACTGCAGCATCTCTAGCTTTAAGGAACTGACATTTAGGACTTAGATGATTGTAGTGTACGGTACATTAACTTAGGTACAGTAGTACTGAGTAGTAGTAGTAGCCTACTACTGCACTCAAAACTCATACTGTTTTTTGCAGTCTCTGTGGGTTAGAGATTACGTATATTAGGTTCTATTACTCTGGATTCTTTACCTTAGTCTGGTTTTCACCTTCAGGTGAATGCACTTGTCATGTCAAAGTACAAATGACAAACTCAAATACTCTCTGTGTGTCCCAGTCTGCCTATCCTAGACTTACTCTTGCACATGCATACACACGTGTTCAAAGTATGCACACAAATATGCCTGCGTGATTAAACAGGGGAGGTAAGCCCTTGTTATTCCATATTGACCTAGAGGGTGATGATGCACTGTTGCATTCGCGTACACAGACACACAGACACACAGACACATACAAGAGCAACCATGACTATCATATTGTGCCTAGCTGGAGTAAGAACAACTCGGTGATGAGCAGATTTCAATTTGACCTGTCGCTTTATTGATGCTACAAGTATGCCATCCACACTGCTAAAAAAAAAAAAAGAAAAAAGATTGCACTCACACTAGGGAGACTGTCATCAGCTGGACACACAACATTACTCAAGGTCTTACACATTCCCTTGTAGATGGAGGTGTGGAAAGCTAAGAGTCAAGTGAAGGTCTACAGTATAATGAAAAAATCCTAATGGCAGAATTAACAATTGACATTCAGTGAATGGCTGCTAGTATCTAATCATCCACATGTCTCAATAAATAATTGCTCAAACTTCCTGACTGTCATTAAGACATTTAAATGTCAGCTCCTGTGTTTAAGGAACTACCCGTCTCACAGCACCTTTCATCAGATGCACTCCAGTGTCAGCAACACCCACCTGAGTCTGTGCCTCTGGGCTTCGCTGCACTAATAAGGAATTAAAAGCGTTAACATAGATTAAGATGAACTATAAACTAGTATTAAACATTTTAATGATATGGCATAAATGACGCTCCCTGTGGGAGAAGTCTGAAGCACATCACCAAGAGCTAAATGGAAGCTTATTAGCATTAATACAAAGTGTTTAAGTGTTGCCTTCACTGACAACCATATTAACATTCATAACCTGTACTACACAGCCATGTCAAATACAATAATAACAATGAGGAACAAGGAAAATGTGTAATGCTATATTGATCTGTGAAGTTAAATCCTTACAGCCGGATACATAAAACTTCAGCAGGGTAGACAGTTATTGACAGGAGAATTTCAGCTATCTGGTTCATTGAGTGATTTCCGTACACATCACACCGCCCTGCTGCCATCCTTCTGCAGACCTGTGACACCATGACAACTGATTTTCATTCTAAACGGATGCAGATATGGTAATATGGTAATTTGGAAACTTTAACTAAATGGCTAAGGTGAGTAAAGTTTAGGGTAAAAGTTCTGGAAACAACTTCTGTAAGCATCTTCAAAAACAGAAAACTGCAATAAAATGCATTATCTGTACAGCATATATTAGAAACTTGAAAACATTAAGAGAGAATATACCTCTGCCAAGGCTTTGCAATCACCTAAATTTGTTATTCAAAATGAAGCAATTTAAATGAATCCACCCTTTTTAAAGGTAACGTGTAACATAAGGTAATGTAAAAAATGAGACCTTCTCAAACTTTCTGGGTTTCCAATAACTGTGGATATGGATATGTAAAGAACTTGGATCAGGAATTTCAGGAAAAAATCCAAAAGATGTGACATTTATGCTTGCTCCCTTGCTTCAGTGTTTCTCTTCTGCTCCCCTACAGCACCAACAATGTGCAACATTAGTTGACATTAGCTTAGAAATGGAGTATCATGAGGTC